CCGTGGTGGGAAGGAAGAGCCTGAGCTCAGAGCAGCACTTGCAGCAGATGCAGCAAAGCTCATCCCTGGGGAAGCTGTCAGACACTGCCTACAAGCGAGATGGTGCGCGCCGGCTGCTCGGAGTCTGCCACCAGCACAGCTCCAGATCTGCCCCAGGGAACTGCTCCATGGAGTCCTCTCCACATGGGAGCCATCCCTGAAGGAATGGCTGGCTGCAGGGTTAAATAACTCCTGCTTTGCTGCAGTTTCACCCCAGAATCTGCCCCAGCCCAGAGGTAACGTCTGCCAGAGCCCACCAGCCATGCAACAGCTGCAGAAGCATGTGAGATCTGTGGAACAGGATCCCTGGAATGGCTGAGGCCAAAACACACCAAAACAGACAGGGAGTAAAATGACTGTCTGGGAAAAATATAGCCAGCTCCACATCTTTTTGTTCTACATTGGCTGCAGCAGCTAGCAAATGCACAGTGAGGGAGGGAACCAAGGCACATTCGGGCTTTGCACAACATTTCCAGAGGGATTCATAATGAAAGCTTAAGGAAAAGATGCTGAACTTGTAAGAAAAAAAAAAGAGGTTTAGGGCCCTCAAGCTAGGTCATGCACAAGACACGAACTTGGTGATCCAGCAGGAAAAAGGGACAACACTAGCAGGATCAGGCACTGCCAGTAAAGTGAGAGGATAATGTCCCTATGCACTCAGCCATATAAACACCTACAGGGGTTTCTGCCTGTGCTGCTTTAGTGACCTTGATGTTTTGCAACCAGATGGAGCAAGAAATATAATGTCAGCTTAAAGGATATGCTCTGAGGTAAGAGGCACAGAAGTTTGGTTCACCTTGTGAAATAGTGCCTATTCTCAGCCTACTGGTAAACATTTCAGCCAAAAAACTCTTTCCCTAATTTTACCAGGATGGGGGAGATTATTAAAAAGGCTTAAATTAAAAAACTTCATCACTTACTACAGGGATGTGCACATAAACTGAGTTGTTGAATCTAGGATAAATGCTACTGCCAAGAACTCGATCAAACCCTTGCCCTCTGTTCTTGGCTGTCAGTAGCCTCTGCTCACCCTTGCTGGGACATCTACCTGGCAAAACTCTTCAAAGTGCCACCAGCACAATGCTCCACTTTTCAAACACTTTGCCGTGTTTATTGGAGGCTCGGGAGAGAGACTGTCCTTGGAGGCCGTTCAGTTCCCTCACAGATTCCTGTTCTAGGCAGCCCTATAGAGATCTCAGGAGTGTTCCAACATCTAGGAGGAAAGAACAAGCAGTGTGATGAAGACAACCCAAACAGAAAAACCATCTACCTGCTGACTGCACACTGAGCTGCATTTACTCCAGAGCAGTGCTCCATCACCTCCCGCTCAGAGCCTAAGGTCTCTGGCCTTAGATTCCCCCTGCCAGCTTCCTGGGGGAGAGAGAGAGACTCTCCTTTTCTATCAGGTACCTCCCAACCAGGCAGCAGCACAGCAGCCTCCTCCGTGCCCAAAGCAAAAGTGACAATTTGCAAAACAGCCACAGGTCCAGGGGGAACATGCAGAGAAAAAGCAGCTCCTGCTCAGCACCAGTTGCCAAGGGAAGCAGTGGGAGCACTGCCAAGGCCAGGCTGGGCTCACTCCCTGGGAGCCCTGAGCTTTGCTCTTGTGCTCAAAGCCGGTGGGGCTGCTGATGCCAGCACACAACGTGCTCCAGATCCCCCTTGGACATGGAACAGCAGGGATAATTGATTTATGTTCAAAATACCAGGGCTGCATTGGCACACCCAGCCTTTTCCCTAGGAAGAGGAGGGAAGAAATAGCTGCCTGACACATGTGCCCTTCTGGAAGCTGCTGGGATGAATATACATCATACATTCATGTGCAGTGGTGACACTGTGGGACAGCAGGAGCTTCTCTCTCCTTGGACCTACACAGAGCTCTCAGATCTCCTCGCACTAAAAATGTTACTAAGGGAAAGTTCATGCCAGTATTTCTGTGACTCTTGACACACAACCCTGGGAGGTTTAGGAACATAAGGGAAAACCTGTATTTCCAAACATGCTGGCACAGGGAGCTTATATTGTCATTTATTGTGCTTTCCCTACATTTGCGTTTGAACAGACTCATCAGAAAGCAACAAGAACATGACCAGGGCTAAAAATTACCCCATGTGGAAGGTTCTGTATTTCCTTCAGAAAGGATGCAGAAAAGACCTGACAACAGCCTTTAATTATGTGTAAGAGCTGCAGCAGGGAAGAAACCAAACTGTTTTTATAACTCCTCTGGAGAGCATGGCCTGTAAGGCAAAGAGCAATAGAAATAGATGGAAGCAAGGGACACATGGACTGGACAGCAGGAAAAGTATCTGGCAGGAAATAGGGTGAAATAGCTTAGGGAGGGAGTATCCAGCATGGGAGATTTGAAAGAACAGGTTTTTTCCAGGTTGTTCAACTTGGGAAAAATATGGATGCTTTTTGCTCTGTACCCAGCCCTGTAATGCACATTAGAGGCACCCTTGCACTTGGCAAATTCAAGTTTAGAGCCAGGTAGGTTCCAAACCTTCCAAATTTCTCCCTGTCTTGCTTCCGGATACCATCAGTATTGATCAGCATCAGACCATCACAAGAACTCTCGCACTCCTTTGAGGTAGGGAAGTGTCATCCACCCCCTTTCAGTGGTGGAGAACACAGGCACAGGCAGGATAAAACCAAAGCAATCCCAACTCCATTATCAGGAGGCCCAGCTCCACACACTGACAGCTTTCCCAGAGTCCAGACAATTACTCCAGCACTTCACTGGTTCAAAGCACAGCTTTCAACAGCTGTTGACACCGACCCCTGCTGCACCTCAGCCCTCAGAGTGGCAGGCCCAGGAAAGCAAAGGTGGTACAAATGGTGATCATCTGCAGAGTCTTGTTAGAAACCACACAAACCCCTTTGCAAAGGCATGAGATTGCTTCTTGAAAGCCACTTTCTTTCCCCTCTGATCCCCTCCAGCCTTCACCCACCCCTTTCCTTGGCAATGGAAAAGGGCAGCTGCCGCATGGATACACACAACACTCCATCACTCATTCCTGGAGCGGGAGGCAGCTGATGTGGAGCAAGGCTCTGGTGAAAAGCACACATAAGTTGGGATGGCATCAGCAAACCTTACAGGCCACCAACAAGTGAGTGCTCCTCTGAGCTACTGCCTGTATTCGTGGGCAAGCCCAGCAAGAGCCCAGCCACGTGGGCCTCCAACAGCGAGCTGTAAAAGCAGTAACTCCACCCATCGGACACGCTTGGCACCGGTGGGTTTGTTGGCAAGGTTAGACACTTGCAGAGCGTGTTACTGATCCCAAAGAGGAAGGAGAAGCAGCCCAAGAGAACCACCCTGGTCCCTGGAGAGTACAGCATTAAGATCCAGGCTCTGTGTCTCCTTCCCCAGCTCTGTGGGACTCCAGTGCTGAAGGTGCTGCCTATTCCTCCTACTAGGGATACAACCATCACCGTGCTCTATGATTCCCCGGAGCACGCATCCTGTCCTCGCTTCCCTCCGCCCCCTCCTGCCTTTTCGTTCCTCTGCCTCGGTGGGAAGCGCTTATCTCTGCTCTTACTCCCCCTCTCCCTCTGCATTGTGCCAACAACATGTGCTCCCAACAAGGACCAGATGGGAATACTTGTAAGAGCCTGGGGTTAACCCGTGTCTTTTATCCCACATACTCTCTGCTGTTTTGAAATGCAGATTCTATTGCAGTGTAAAGATTTAAGGTTAGTAGTAGAGTATGTTGATATTGCTTGTGAAACCCATCTCGCTCCTATTGCACGCTGATCATCTCCAGTACGGGAAACAGAACAGACAGATAGTCTGTTTAATGTCTCCAAGGGAAGGACCTATTGGAATAGGGGGGAAATGAGTATTTGCAATATGCCCGTGCATATCCATCTCTAATACTCCTCTCTCCCTCGCCTCTGCGTTCATTTGTGCCCACACATGAATTCACAGATGTTGTGCCAGTGGGGCTGGGCACAAAGCCTCGGCTCTCTCCGGCTGCCAGCAGCCGTCACCAAGGGCCATCTTTGCCTCCAATTAATCTCTGCGTGGCAAATGATCAGGACCAAGAGCAGACGCAAACTCCCGCTTGCCGGATGGATTTCCCCCACTGTGGTAAGAAATCCATCCGATTGTCTGTGTGTCCAACCAACACCTCCAGGGCAGGAGCTGTTACCCCTCCCAGTTCAATACTGGTGTGTTGGATGGCTGTAAAACCCCCAAAAAGACAAAATATGCCTTTTAAAGTTTCAGATCTGTGCAGAGCTAGTAATTTCCATGTGCCACGCCAAGCGTTTCTGTGCAGCCTAGCAATTAAGAAGATGAATTAGCAAGTCGTTAATGATGGTTTTACTGGGGGGGGGCAGCCAGGCCCATGGAGGCCAGGCTGGTAGGAACACCACCACATTCCCCACATGTGAGAAAGCCAGCAGGCACCTGCACCTTTCCAGAAGTTGGTGCACACGAGAGAGCCCCAAGGCTGCAGGTCCGGGTTCCGCGTGATACCTCCCTCCGCACGGGGAGGGAGCGATCCAATTACATCCATCACAGAAATGCCAAAACGACATCCGCCTTATAAAACCTCAATTTACGCTCTGACATTTCTGGAAAACCAATTTTTAATCCATGTCATCTATCAGGAGTTCTTGATATTTTACTTCACCTCGATGCTTTATATATACTGTTGCCTTTATTGAGGTGCAGGTGGGGAACTGAACACAGGCTGACAAAATATTAGGAAGAAAAATTGATGTCAGCCCATAAAGGCTTCCGCAGGTTTTGGAGGAACAGAACAGCAAAAGATCTGGCTTTAGCTTTTTCCAAATCCCCCAAATCCAGAAGCACCTTCTCCCCTAGCTGGGGCTCTTTTCCTGTGGCCATGACAGCCTTGCTTGGGTGTAGCTTATGGTGCAGCCTTTAATTCCATTCCTTCTTGAATAAACTCTTAATTTCAAACACAACCTTTACATGAAAGCAAAGGAAGGGAAAGGTGAATTTTAGACATCACATCATGTTAAATCATTAAAAATAAAGGGCAACTTAATTTTGGAGTAAGCAGCATAGAAACTTAAACAGAAGATCTAATTTTCTTCAGGAATTCTTTAATAAATCGCATATATCTAGCGTATGTACAGCAAAAGTGGAAATGCCATGAAACTGAAAAGGCTTATAATTTTTGACCTGGTGCAAAATCTGCCCAGTGAAAATACACAATAATAAACTCCTTTCTACTATAAAAATTACTAGAATTGGAAAACAGGACTGCAAGTCACACAAGCAGAAGGCTTCCTAATCACCAGCAGCTCACTTCCCTGGGAGTTTAGGTCACTTCAATAGGCCATAGGGGAAAAAAAATGATGCAATTATCAGACTAGGACATCTGTAGCTGAAAAACAAAAGTGCTGACATTGATTTTGGTAATTGCTCGGGGGTTCTTTTTTGTACAAAGGACGTGATTATAATACTTCTGCTTGGGATTTTATGAACATGGCAGTACAGATTTGCAGAGCCAGGGGTTGTAAAATGGCACACAGACATGACGTGGCCGGCAGCTGCCTCTTTACAGCTCTCACCTCTCCTCAATGACGCCTCCAAAGAAGAGCTTTGCCTTCTTTTAACAACACTTCCCCTCGCAGCCCCGCTGAAAACCTACAGGATTCTTCCGAGGGCTGCGGCCAGGAGCTCGCGCCCAGCCCTGGGTGGAATAACACGTTTATCCAGACCGGTGGCGGGAGCAGACGTCCCCTCCTCAGACTGCACTTCAGATAAATAAGGTTATTTCGCTACGAGCTACTACAGGCTACAATATACTCACATAAATATAGTAATGCCTATACGTGGATATGAATCAGTATATATCGGATACAGATAAACACGACGACGAGTAGATACCAATAACCACTGCAGCTTCTCGCTGGGTAAAGTCCACCGTCCATCCAGGCTGCATGCAGGGAGCCCACGGGGGAGGGTTCTGCCCTCTCCACACCAGTGCAAAATGCTTCCCAACCCTTCCATAGCTCTGTACTTTACCAGGAAAGCCGACTCCGTGGGCCGGACCCAACACAACGTCCCCCCAGCTGCAAGGCAGGGGAAGCCCCCCAGCCCCTTCCATCTGGGATAAGATTTGCAGGGACCACCTCGCCTTTGGTGCCAGCAGCAGGGAAAGCCAGGTACGGGGCAGCTGCTGGACTTGGTTTTGTCAAGACTACAAGAGCAAAGCTCGGCATTAAGCCTCAACAGCAACAAGGGCGGCCCAGTTTGCAGAAGGGGCGAGGAGCCGCTGCAACGGCGGAGCTGAGGGTGCTCAGCAGCTCTGCAACATTGCAATGTAAAAAACCAAATCATCATCCCACTCTTGGTGGTTTGAGAGGATCCTCAATACAGCACCTGTCCTCCTCTAACATACGAGTGGAGCTGGACCGAGCAGGATCAACAGGTCTCTAACGTGTGCATGCAGGAGACGGCTTCTCTCGGCATTAGACTACGTTACCAAAGCATCCCCTTACCGGAGCGGGAGCAGAAATGTGCTCCTAGCATTATTTACACAATATAAAGTGCATTAGGATTTAATAATTCAACTGACAGACTTTCTGCCGGGACCATACAATTTCGAAACAGAGGTGAGGGCTTGAATAGGAAATTCTCTCATGAGAAAAAGAGGTTCAGACCGGTGCTCTTCACCCTGTCCTCCTAAGGATTGTTTTTGGCCGTTCTTTCTAGTGCAAATAAGCTTGTGTTTTCTCAAGTTTAAGGGACATGGCAGTTTCAGGGCGTCAGGAACGAACACTTAAAACACATCAGGGATTCAGCATTCCGGAGCTTCTCGCCGGGCCCTCCTGGGCGCCAGCAGCCCACATGGTCACTGCTCTGGGAAGCTGAGGACACACTGCCAAAAATACAAAGGAACCCGTTTCCGAATCTCACCGTTCAAGTCTTGCATTGCTACACTCCAAGTGCATCCCTACTGCCCTCCAGCCCAACATCCACTTCCCATCGCCTGGAGAGCCGTCTTCCCCCAACCCAACACTGGTGCTTCCCGTGGCAATGGAAACCCAGAGCCGCTGCTCTACCCACGAGTGATCAGCAATGAACGTGAAGATCCCGAGCCAGGTTTGGATACTAAGGTGCATCCTGTGCCAGGGGAGTAAATGCATGAGCGGATCCTATGGGATACCTGCGTGCCAGAACCAAGGTTGGCCATCGCTGGATTCCTGGGTGACATTTACAACAAACTAACGGCATTGGAAGGCCAATTCACTAACAAAAGATAAAGGGATTTTTAAAAAAATGGGCAGCAATAAGGAAAGCAATTTTGCATCCTTTGTTGCATCTTTTAAAACGGTGAAGAAAACATCCCTTTCCAATCACGAGTAATTTCCTCACCAACGCTACAGGAACATGGGGAAGGCATGAGCACTTACAACACATGCGGCCACTCACGCTAATTCCAACCCAGGAGCTTTTACAATCCCTTGAGGCAAAGGCGGGCAGGGATGGGAGATGCCGAGCACACACAGAAACAGGAAGGAGAGCATAAAAAGTTCGTACATTCATAGCTCTGGTTTGTTGGACTAGAAGTGAATTTTTTTACCTCAGGCACTGTGACGGGCAGCAGCAGTCAGCGATGCGCTAATGTACGCATCAACTCAATTCATTAAATTCTGGTTTCACACCATAACAGGATGTGGAGTTCTTTTAACGTGGGGTTTGGTGGGTTATTTTTTTAATTGACCTGTTAAAACCATTGGGATGAAAGCCGTGAGAGCACCGATGAACCAGGACCCCGCACAATGCCCGCTGATTCATCACGGTCCACTGGCTGTTCGAGAGATGGAGCGAGAAACCTCTTCCAGGTTTGAAAAGGGACCTGAAAGAGCAACCTATGGAGAAAGGGATGGGAGTTTTTGACACTAAGCCAAAGGCTTGGTTGCTGTAACTGCTATATGTGGTTTTAAAGGGGGAATCACCTAAAACAGTGAAATTAACTTTCTTACTTCTTGTCACAACTGTAACATTTTCCTAAAGGTTCTTTGGTGACTTTGGTGCAAGCTGTTATTTTTTTTTCTTTTTTTTTTTTTCTTTTTTTAAAGTTAAAACAGATTGACTAGTTTTAGTACCCAAACTAAAATCCAGATTATCCTCTTGGTTCCCAACCCTGTCTCCCCAACCTTTCTCATTATGACATTAACAGGCAACAGCATTCGGATTGAGCATGGCCATGCAGTGTGCAGGTGGCTCCAGACTCAGAGTGGTGAACAGTCTGGTTGGAGATAAAGATATTTCTCAAAAGGTTAAAAAATAAAACAGGTCATGGCTGCATGGAAAAACAGCTGGTCCACATGCACACTAGGCCACTCTGTAATGAAATAATTTGAGTGATTACAAATATCTGATCAGACATGGTAATGCCTGCTTAAAACAATCTCAAAGGTGAGCAACGCGCTACTACAAGTACCTGGAGCTCAGTCAAACTCCCACTGGTTCAGGGGGAAGGAGCTGGTTGCCCAAAGGCTGGACAAGCCCCTTATGCTATAAATATTCATGTTTTAAGAAACACAGAACCTTTCAGCAACCTCCCAACCAGGTAATTGCACACATTCTCCCTCCAGGCAGAGAGTTAATATCACGAGATTTAAAATTACATCACAAAGACTCCAGGATGACAGCAAAACCTTGGGGCGGGCAGGCGAGATCGGGACTGGAGCGGCTCAAGGACAGCTCCAGCTCCGAGCTGGAGGGGGAAGGTGGTGATGGCAGGGCACGGATGTTGTCTCCCCAGTACCACCCACAACCAGCACAACAGAAAACCCAACGGGGCATCCACCACAGCTTCCAAAATGCACCACGGGCGAGCATGACAGAGATGCCTTTCTACACGAATCCAGTGGTGCACCCAACACCCCAAAGGTCTTCCAATGGCAGGAGGGGGAAAACACTCGAAAGCTTTCCTCGCCCAGGTCACATCCCAAACCATGTCAATCTGGGAAAGGAGCCGGAAGCCTTGGCCACGGCATTCCTTCCACCTCCCAACACCCGTTCCACGCCTAATACAAAAATACTTTCTGAAATTTCGGACAAAATGTATTTAAAAAAAACCAAAAAAAATCACCAGCCTCTAAGGGGCAGAACACGGAGATGAGGAGTGAGTTATCATTCACTGCCATTAATTCAGGAGGCTGAGCACTCCGCTGCCCTGGGGTACTCAGGTGATCTGGTCAGCACAAAACTACGGGATGAACGACAGCTCTTCCACCCTTCACCAGCACATGACTGAGGTCTGATGGGTTATCAGGACTTTACCCATAAACAGACTATCGTTTCCAACTCAACAACCAGGAGATGTCAACTTTTAAACCTCTCTCCCTCCTCACACACAGACCAGAGATTCACGTGGAGCTGATTTTTGCCATAAATGCTCTATGACAGTGCTGCTCGGCCTTCGGACCGGGCACGGGCAGAAGCCAGTCCTGAAAAACTGGTGATAAGCAGAAACTGATACATTTCATGGTAAGGTTCAGGGCAGGGGTACTTTTGTATCGTGTTTAAGTGCAACACAAGCCTTTTCTAGACTATTTAAAGGTCAGGGTGCCGGATTTTGTTTGTGCTGATACTCGTACTTCCACAGTCTCCAACACTTGAAGCAGCTGACTCATACGGACTCAGGAGGTTGGTCCTTTTCTAAGACACACGGAGATGTTTTGGGCATAGTTTAACATGATAACCAGACTCCTATAACATTATGTACTGGAGTTAGCAAGAACTACCAGAAAAGGACTTTACAAAAAACTGGGGCAACTTGGAATTACTATAGGTCAGTCCCTCTCACCAATTTCTGCTTGCTTTGTTTGGTTAATCGTCCAATGCACTCTATTCCAGACCCTCTTGCTCTTCACCACTGTCCCCTCTGGCATCCATTCTTTTCTCTTTATGGCTGTTGTAAATTCTCCTCATCTCTTCTTCGTACTTGATAAAATTTTCCCCGAACCGTGTCCACGCTTTGTAGGGAACTGTGATGGTGTTACGGTAGGGCGGCCTCACCTCACTTACCTTCAGGAAGATGCCGTACCTGTTGGATCCCACGTCGAAGTAGAAGCGTTTGTTGTCCACTCGGAAGGAAGTGCCCTCGGGCAGCTCCGGGGGCTCCTCACCTCCCCCACGGCGATCCTCTATGTCCCCCTCGCCATACTCTTCAATCAGCTGCACCAAAGCATCCCTGAACTCGATCATGCCTTGCGCTGGCAGGACGATCGTCTGCTCCTGTCCCAAGCCGTGGCCGAAGTAGCCCATCATGCCAGGTCCCCTGCTCATGGTCTGCCTAATCCGCAGGAAGCGCCCGCGCTGGTTCTCCTTCAGGTCCAGGTAGTACTTCCTGTTGTCCCTCTCGATGTACTCCGTTTTGAGGACGCTGTGAGGAGGCTCTTCAGAGCCCACGGAGGCCGGGGGCGAGGGCGGCGGGTGCTGCGGCCGCCTCCGGGGATGCTGCTCCTTGTCGTTGCTGTGCTCGTGCCGGTGCCCATGGCTGCCCTTCAGGCCCAGGTGGGCGTAGTGCTCGATGAAGTCCCCCAGGCAGTCCTTCAGTTCAGCGGCCACCGACAGGGAGAGGGTCAGCTTGCTCTTCCTGATGTTGTCCTGCCTGCCCCTTCCTATCCAGACCTCGGCGATCTTCAGGAAGCGGCCACGGGAGCTCTGTTTCACATCCAGATAAAACCGCTTCTTTTGGATGTCCACCCTCTTGGACGCCAGCTCCTGGATCTCCATGCAGCTCCCCTGGGAGGAGGCCGGGTAGTGGTACTGCTGCTGGGACTGGGAATAAATGTTCCTGTGCAGGCCAGAGCCTCCCAGGTTCCTTCCTCCTCCTCCTCCTCCTCCTCCTCTCCCTCTTTCCATCTTTACCAATCAGCTGGAAATAATACACAACAGAGACACAGATAACAACATCAGCACCAGGGGCCTGCTCAGCTCCTCGGCGGCGGCTCCGCTCGGCGCCGCTCTCCCTACAAAGGCTCCTGCATCCCTCTCCGCTGCCACTGGCACGCAGCATCGCAGCCCGAGGAGCCCGGGCGCTCTTCCCCTCCCGTGCTCCGGCTGCCGGACAAGGGAGCCTCGATTCCAGCGGCGCTCCCCGGCAGCACTCCCTGCCTTGCAGCCCCCCTGTCCTGCCCCTGTGGTACCACAGACCCCCCAGCTGCCCCACGGGGGTGGGTTATGGTGCCCTGTTTCGGGGAGCACTCACCCCTCTCCCCGGGCTGCGGCTCCCCTCTGCAGGGTCTATCCTCGAGCCGCTGCCTTCCCCCTCCATCACCCTCTCTGCTCTTCCTCCCAGGGCACGGGGGGTGCACTGGGGTTTCCCCCAGCACTGCTCTCCTGTCCCCCGCTACCCACGGAGCCCCCCCGCCACTGCATCTCCTGCCTCAGTGCCCCCCAGCCTCCAGTTCCTTCCCCCCGGTAGTGCCCCAGTGCCTCTCTGGCCCCTCACGGCCCCGGTACCGGCCCTTGGTGTCCTCAGAGCCCTCCAGTGCCCCCAGCACTGCCCCGGTAGTGCGCCCCTGGCCCCCAGCGCCCCACTACTGCCCCCCCAGTGCTCCCCATCACTGCACCTCCTGCCCCAGCGCTCCCACAACTTCACCCCTTGCCCCCCAGCGCCCCAAAAGTGCCCCCCGGCGCTCCCGGTACTGCCCCCTGGCGCTCCCAGTACTGCCCCCAGCGCCCCAAAAGTGCCCCTAGCGCTGCCAGCGCCGCCCCCGAGCGCCCCCCGTGCCCCAGCGCGGCCCCCCCAGCGCCCCCCGGCACAGCATCTCCGGCCCCATCACTGCCCCCCACAGCCCCGCGGCCCCTCCGCGCCCCCCAGTGCCGCGCTCCCCCCGCCCGGTCACTCACCCCGCAGCGCCCATCGCCGCCGCTGCCCTTCAGCTGCCGCCGCCGCCACCGCCCGCAGCCGGCGGCCCCGCCGCCCCCCCCCCCCCGCCGCGCAGAGCCACGGGCTGGTGCTCCGCCCCGCCCCGGCCCTCCCCGGCCCGCCCCGGCCCCGCCCGGCCGAGATCGGCGGCAGCGGCGGCGGCGGCAGTGCGGGGGGCGCCGGGGGGTGCGCGGCCCTTACGGCGGCGGGACTACAACACCCACAGTGCCCCGCGGCCGCCGCGGCAGGGTGCGTGCGCGTCACCTCGGGTAACCCGAGCCGAGGCGGGGCGCTATCAGTGGCGTATTTAGGGAGCGACGCGCCGTGACGCGTAATGTGCGCTCAGTGTCCGTGAGGGCGGCTGGCCGCTCCCAGGGACCGGAGCGCGGGGAGGCCGCGGCGGCCGAACGGGCTCGGAGCCCCTGCGCCGCGCTCGGAGCTGCTGCCGGCCTGTCGCGGGCGGCGAGGGGACACGGGCTGAAGCGGTGAGTGCGCTGCTGGTGGGTCTGGGAGCACTGGGGCACAGCAGGGCAGCCGCTCCCAGGGGGGCCCCGGCGGCCTGCCCAGCGCTGAGGGTGCTCAGTGTTCGTGTGGCAAATCAGGCGTGTTAGCCGTGGCTGTTGTCGTGCTTTAGTGTAAAAATGCTTTTTGGTTTTGAAATGCGGGGAGATGTTGGTTGTGCTGCTGTACACCAAGGGAAAAGTCTGCTTAGCCTTGAAAATCAATTGAAAATGAAAGTATTTTCATAACCTTGTTCAGGCCTGATGATAGTGACAGCTGACCTCCACATGAGCTGCTGACTGTTCTGATTTCTTATTATTGTGTTTATTAGTCCTAGAAATGGATGTAGTAGCTGGCTGTTCTGGTTTCTTGTTGTTCTCTTTATTAATCCCAGAAATGTGCCAGAAATGGATGTGGTAGCTGCTGGCCTGCGGGATAAGTATCCCCAGTGGATGGTCACAGAGAGCCAGGAGGAAGCTTCCTTGGGGCACAAAAAGGTGGGTCCTGGCTCACTGCAGAACAACCCAGCTCTGGGCAGTGTGTAAATGTTCAGTATAAAAATGCCCACGAGGAGGGACCATCCCTGAAACAGCTTCACCAGTTAGGTAATTAATTAATGAGGGAGGGGGAGAGCAGAGGGTGCAGTTCAGCAGCTTTTATTCCACCAAGTGATATAAAATATATAATTATTTAGTTAGATAATTAATTAGTAAATATATCATATTTATATGTAATATAAACATATAGATATAATGTCTATGGTTATATAAATATATTTTATATATTATATAAATAATATAATAGATAATATTTATATTAGTAAGTATATAAATATTTAGTTAGATAATTTATTATCTATCTGTTGATAATTAATATGTAATTCATTATCAATAGTTAGATAATTGATTAATTATTGAGGGAGGGGGAGAGCAGAAGATGTAGTTCAGCAGCTTTTATTCCACCAAGTGGGAGTAAATGATTAGCTGATTAGTAAGTGGTTAGTAGCTTGGATATTAAAAGTTATCAGATGAAACAACAGTAATTTTGACTTTTTGTTCACTAGAGAAGCTGCAGTAGGAGCCTATGTTGTTTGATGAAGGGTGTCACCACTGCACATGAATGTTTTGATTAAGGGGCTGTGTGACCCTGGCTGGGATGGGTGTCCCTGGTGAGGAGGGGAGTGGTGGATAACCAATCTCTCCCAAATTTGCTTTCTCAGAAGCCTGGTTCCCAGAGGAGTGTTCTGGAGGATGGGCTGCCTTTCCTGGAGTTCTCTGGCTCTGTTGTTTATAGCTATGAAGCCAGTGACTGCTCCCTCCTCTCAGAAGATATCAGGTAACAACTCACACTCACTTTTTTCCATCTTTCCCTTGAGTGCTCCTGTGTTTTTGGAAGGGGCTCAGCTCTTGGGAGTAGTTTCCCATTTGGCCTTGTTGGTGGGAGATGCCATTGCTGAGCCTTTCTGTCCCTCAGAGCAGAGGCTGTGAGGGCTCCAGTGCAGACTGAGTGCCTCTCACAGGATGGATAATTCCATGTGCTTCACTGGCTTCATGGACAAGTGTTAATTCCTAATTAATTAATTAATTGGGAGTGTATGTTTAAAGAAAATACAGTAAATTTATGGTGCAAATACATTCTTTTCCCCTTTTTTGTGTAGCACAGCTCATGATGCTGGGGGAAAAAAAGTTGTGTACAACACTTCTAGTGCTGTGGGATAAATAAAGGACTGTCTTTCAAGGGATCCTGGGGTGAACCTTTTACAGGAATGAAAACTACTCTTTTTTTCCTCTGCCTGTCCTTGAGGCCTATGTGGCCAAGTTTTAGTACTGGGGATTAAAGGTTCTGTCCCTGTTGTGGTGCTGAGGAGAAAGAGGTGGGAAATCTGGGAGTCCAGGGAAGAAGGGAGTGGTGTGGGAAAGGTGCTTTGAGCTTGTTTCATTTCCCATTGCCCTCCTCTGATTTGACTGGAAAGGAAATCAGGTAGGAAATCAGTTTAGTTTTGATGTGCTGGTAATTCCTGAGTGTCCTTCTCTGCACCCACCACCTGCAGCTGTTTATTAACAATGTGTATTTGTGTTTGTAGGCAGATCTGCAGGGTTTTGCAGCATTTCAGGGGCTCTGTGGGTCAGCACCAAGTGCTCAGAGCTGTGAGATGCTTTCTGTGCCCTGCAGGTGTGACATGGGGGTGTCACACAACCTCTGCTGTCAGTGCCAGGTGTTGGAGCAGCAGGTAAATGTGGGAATATCTGCTCCTTTGCAGGCAGAGCCTGTCAGAGGGGGCTGCTGTGGGCTTTGACATCGAGTGGCCCCCATCCTACACCAAGGGCAAGATGGCCAGAACAGCTGTAATCCAGATGTGTGTGGCTGAGGACAGGTGCTACTTGTTCCACATCTCCTCCATGGCAGGTACTGTGCTTCCTCTCTTATTTGGGGCTCTCTGTTTCTCCTGGTTATCTCTGAACTGAAGCCTTGAGCAATGGCTGACATATCCTACCACATGGGACAGTAAAAACCCACCCTTTTCCTCCCCTTTCCCACCTAAAATAAAGGGATTTATTCTTTGAGTGATGCTTGTATATTAAGACAATCTTAGATGTGCTTGAAAACAGGGTGTGGGTTCTGATTATTTTTCTATGTGGGAATATTTTGTTCCAGTTTTAAAAATTTAATTCTCTGCTCCTTTAATGAGTTTTCTATTTAGTGCCAAAACAAACAGTGAACCTAAATAGAGCAGGCTGTGGGCTTTATTGTGTTTTGGTGTTTTTGAGTTTTTTTCTTTTTTTAATTTGGCTTCAACAAGGAGCCTCAAAAATGGTGGCTCTTGTGCTCTTTATTCCCAATTCCTGCACTGTGTGACATCAGCTTTGGGAAAGAGTCCTGGGTACCTGGTGTGATGCAGCTGTGGGGAGAGAAGGGGGTGTGGTTAGCAGAGACTGAATTCATTATGGATGTGAATAAAAGCTTCCAAATAGGGAAAATAGGGATGAGGGAGGGAGTTGGCAATTTTATAACCTTTGGTTTCAAATGTTAGATTAAAACTATACCTGGGAGAGGTTTCTGATTTCCCTGGGGGACTCATGCTGAGGTATAATAGTGATAATTTTAATGTTGGTGTTCAATCCTTTGTCATTTAGAGCAAATGGGGTGGAAAATTTAATTGCTGGAGGCTATTCCATCAGGGAGGCTGGAGAGCACAAAGGAAAATGATGTGAAGAGAGGAAGCTGAGAGAACAAGAGCTGCAAAGATCTGCAATGCTTCTGTTTCTGGCAGGGGAGATGTTTGTGTGGCTGCTGTGGGACAGCAAAAGGGAAGGTTTCCCCCTGGATGGTTTTCCAAAGTGCCTCCTCTTGCCAGTGGAGGATGCGCTTTGAACTGAGTGACTTGGGCAGGAACCAGAGCCAATTTCTGCTTCTTATGGCAATATATGTGATCTGCAGAAATCTGGCCAAACCAGAAGAAAAAACAGCAAGTCCTAGCAAAAAAGCTTTCTCCTGCAGGAGGAATTGGGCCTTATTGGACTGTGCATAAATGGCAAAACTGAATTTATTTATTTATTGGGAAGATTGTTCATAATTTTCCATTTTTTAGTTTTTGTTTTTTTTTTTTAATTTCCTTACAGATTTCTCAAATTGTGGCCTGTTTCTCAGATTGTGGCTCTTGCACAATCTTCAACTTAGAATTTTTTGGTTTTTTTATTTAGTCACTTTTCTAGGAAACGGGGCAGGACTTGTCCACTGGGGAGTGCCCATCCTAGAAGGTTGTAGTGATGATTCCCTTTGGTGAAAATCCCTTGTACATATGCGGGCTTTTATTTGGTTGAATTATCTTTATATGTGGAGGATTTTCCATCTTTTCCCATGACTCACATGCTTTGGGAATGCTGTAATTTGTCTGCCTCTCACAGCACCAGCTTGCTGCTGTCTGAGGGGTTTTTACCAGTTATTTTTTAAAGCTTTGGGGTGGATCTGCAATTTTCCAGTGTACAGGAAATTGGCTGTGACTGCAAATGTACAGTGGCAGCCAGCAAAGGGTAGAGACAGTTGTGCACAAATAAAATCAGTGGTGCTAAGTGTTTGTTGAAGTACATAAATGCATATTGCAGGGTTGGGAAAAGGTGGTGTTTGCAATGAGAGTCAAGGCAGGTGAGCACTGTGTGCCTGTGCAGTTCTTTGTGTTTGCAGGTACTAGATTTGCACTTTAGAGACTAATTCGGGCTATCCAGCTGTGGGGTCCTGAAGGTATGGATTTAAATAAGATGCTCTGAATTTTAAATGGGAGCAAACACACAGGGGAGCAGAAGGCTGTTATTGTTCAAGGATGAAGTGTCTGGGGCTGTTCTTCCTGCAGAAAATGAGATGAGAAAGCTGCCTGCTTTAATTCAGCTCTGTAAGCTTGAAAATACCCTTTGATCCAGGTTTGCTGTGCCATCAGTTTGGGAGAAATCAAAATATAAAACTGAATATCTGTGTGCATCTTTGAACACTGTGGGTTTTTGCTTGCTGGCAGGACTGGCATGTTTGGGTTTGGCACAGCAGCTGGTTGGTGGGTTCTGTTTTCCAAATGCTGTTGTTGGAGCAGCCCAGCCTTAGCTGTGAGTTTGTCTCCGGAGAATCTGTGCTGCTGGGGATTTCCCATGCTTATGGTTTCAACTCTTGCCCAGAAATGTGAAATAGCAAAAACTGTGAGGAAATCATGGGGAAAATAGTAAAATAATGTTTGATTTTATGTAATGAACACTGAGTTTTGAGAGTTAAAGTGTCTTTTCCAGTGTGGGGTTGCTCTTTTGTTGTGTGATTTAACAATCAGAAAGACAAATAATGTTTTGGCTTTTTTTCCTTGGTTTGTTTCCAGATAGGTGCAGGATGATTTGTGTATTTCGGGTATTTCCTTCTTGCTTGTCTGCAGATGACCCATCACAACCAGTTGAAGTTTTCAAGTCATTCCAGTGAGAAATCAAATAAACAGAGGAACTTTGGTGGCTTTTCCTTTAAAAACCCAGGGTTTTGCAGATGGCCTTTGTGCTTGGATTTTGTCATTTCCATTAGACTTTCTGGCATCTTCCAGTATTTAGTTTCTCATGTTTGGGCTTAATCTATTTTAGGTTTTCCCAAGGGACTCAAAAGGCTGCTCGAAGATGAAACAATTAAAAAGGTTGGCGTAGGAATTGAGGGAGATCAATGGAAGCTGATGAGTGACTTTGAGATCAAACTGAAGAGCTTTGTGGAGCTGGCTGACATTGCTAATGACAAAGTAAAACTCTAAAATCTTTTTGTTGTGGGAGGGAATCTTGTTATGGTGCTGCTGTGCAAAGGAAGGCTTCCTTGTCTTGGTTGGAGTTCCATTCCAACAGCAAACCTGTTCTGTGGAATAAAGCAGAGCTCTACTGCAACTTATTTAGAAACTGCTTAAAAACACCTCTCAAAGCTTGCAGAACTAACTACTGTCTTCCAGTGAGCCAGTTTTTAATCAACATCTGTCTCCTCTCAGGTCTGTTCAAGTGTTTACAAGATGTACCTTTTGAATTCAGCTGCAGATGCTTTTCCTTTAATTTTTAGTGATGGAAATGGCCAGATTGTCCTGCTGGCATTGGTGACATTGTCCCAGCAGTGGCTGAGCCTCATCAACAGGATACAAGGAGGCAGCCCTGCTTCTTGGAGGGAGGCTCAAGGTCTTCCTTGAAGCCCTCCCTGCAGAGGTGTTTCTGCAACACAGTCTGGAAATGGATTTTCTGTAGGAATATCTGCATTGCTGTGATTCTCAGGCTGGTGTCCCCTCAGCTCTGGTGTGGGTGCTGCTTCCAGCACCTGCTGAGCTGCTGTTTACAAGTTGTGCTGCCTTTGGCACACCCTGGACTTCAGTTTTGTGTCAGAGATGGTTTGATGCAGGGCCACCTGTGCTGTCTTTTAGGGAAGGGAGCCCAAGGTTCATTGCTTTCCAAATCTTTCTGATTTCTAGCACATCCCTTAAAGCTTTTCTTTCTGTGTGCACCTTACCTGTGCTTGGTCTCTCCACATATTTCTCACTCCTTCTGTGGTGCAACTCGGTGCTTTCCCTAGGAGCCCCTGTGGAGTTGGAATTGGAAATGATAGAAATTAACTGTTTTGCTCAAGCAACAAGAGGAGCTGTTACTTCTCCAACTTGGAGTTTGCTCAGTCACCCCCTTTGTTTTTGTTTTTTATATTCTGTCTTTTGACTCAGGATAATTTGTTATGAAGATGAGCAATGTGATCTCTGACAGCTTCTGCTGAAGAGAAAACAAACCAAAAATAAACTTGAAAGAGAACAGGAGAACAGGGTTATATATAATGGCACAATGGGAGGGGAAGGGGTGGGGGAGCCTTAAGAGAACAGTTGGGAGGGTTTTTTTAATACCAGACTCAAGACAGTGAGCTGCTAATGCTGCACTGCTGCTGTTCAGCTCCACAGCTGGGCACATTTTCCAGGCTGGAATAGCAGTGGACTGTGCCTATGAGGCCTGGATCCTTGGGCACCAAGGCAAAATTTCCCAGACTGCCTCTGGGGACAGCAGGGTGCAGCCATTGTGGCTGACAAGAGATTGCAAAGGCAATTGGAGGCAGCACATGCTGGGATGGCTTCTGGAGGCCTGGGAGTCCTGGGCTAGAGCTGTGCTCTTCTGCTTTGTGCTTGGCTTCAGCCTGACAAAAGATGTCCACCACACACAGGCAGGCTTTAATATTCCTGTGGTTTTATTAGGTAAATCCCTGTTGCTGGATGCTGGGTTTTTCTAATTAGAAAGGCAAATAGCAGGAAAATCCTGAAGGAGAGAGGGGCTGCTGTTTAAGTCCAGGGCTTTTATTTTATCAACCCAGAGGTTGTTTTGTACAGATGCTTCATATTTTTGATGTTGTGACAGCACTGCTTTGAAAAACTAAGTATGCTTTGACTAACCCAGAGCTCTTTGCTGTTAACAAGGGATTGAGTATGCTTTGCTCTTCTTGGGGAGGTGCAGATGCTTTCCTTTATAAACGTAACCTCTGCTTTTGGTGTTTTGTTTGGGTTCTTTTCCCCAGCTGAAGTGTAAGGAGGCGTGGAGCCTGAATGGCCTAGTGAAGCACCTTTTTGGCAGGCAGCTGCTGAAGGATCCGTCCGTCCGCTGCAGCAACTGGGAGGAGTTTCCACTCAAGGAGGAGCAGAAGCTCTATGCAGCCACAGATGCCTATGTATGTACCACAGCATTCCAGCCTCCTCAGAAGGGAGTGAATCCCCTCTCCACTGTGCTCCTAGCTGCTGGGTATTTTTTAGTTCCTTGTTACCACTTCTGGATCCATTTCCTTCTGGTTTTGTCATATTTCTTAGCTGCTAATTAACCCAAACCTTGTTAAATACAGTATGGGGGGTGAAATTCAAAACTTGGAAGAATACAGCCTTCACTGGTGGCTAATACAGGAGAACCACAATATGGATTGTCAGGGAGAGTTTAGTTGCATATGAGTTTTGTGCTTCTCCAGAAGTCCCTGCTTTTTCAGTAGTTTTCATCAATTTTGGTTTATCTGCAGTTCTGTGAAGGGTTTTGCCAATATGCTACCAGGTGCCTCCTGCTTCCTGGGAGAAAATAAAGGGAAAAAAAATCCTTTTAGTCTCATATTTCTAGGCTTGGAGGAAGGGAAGTGGGACAGTGGTTTCTTTTCTGATTTCTAGTTTAGTTAAAAGTTCAGCCATGTGGGGTTTAGCCTCTATGAAGATCCTAAACAGTCTGAAAAAGATTTGAGATTTTTTGTGCCTGGTTCATCCTTTGTAGCCATTTTTTTCCAGGCAGTGCATCTTTCCCACTTTGCTCTGTTCACCTGGCCTGCCTTTTGGAGCCTCCCAGGAAAACACGAGGGAGTAACTTGTTTCTTTTTCAACACGTGTAGCCTAATTAGCACATTGCTGGCTTTAGGCTGTGTTTTTCTGTTAGAACTCATTATTCATACCTAGGGAAATACTAAACACACTGAATCCATCTTGGTGTGTTTGTAGCTCTTCTCCTGGAGCAGGGCATGAATTCTGAATGAGGTGAGCAGATGGTGGCACTGGGAGCTGAGCACTGGGAGCTTTCTGTGTGCAGCCAGCAGCTGAGATGACCCACTCTGGGATCTGTGTAAGAGGATCCATTCCAGAGGGAGTTCCAAGTCAGCACTTGGCCCATAGTGCAGCATTCTTGTAGCATGTAACCTGGTCCTGATGGACAGTGGAGTCAGCATGGTAATTAGTATGATGGGAGCCATATTCCAGTTTGGAATTCTGCTGGTCACACTGCATTGCTGCCATGATTTGCCTGATTAACTCCTGATGATTTTTTTTATTGTTTTTTCTCTCAGGAGTACCGAGTACTAATAGATTCTTTTCCCTCCTAGGCTGGCTACATTGTTTATGAAAAACTGAAAAACATGAATAAGAGTGACCTGAAATTATGTAGCATGAACCAAGGTAAGTTGTCCATCCAGGCATAAGGAGTTTATCCCGTGTACAATTGCATGTTCCATTTCCCAGCAGGGAAATTAATATATTTATATTAAAATAGTGCCAGGTTTGTCTGGCTTCTTGGTGATTCCAGATGACTTGCAGAGGGAGCAAGAGGCCTTGGATGCCCAGGGTACCCATACTCTGTGCCTGTTTTCCATAGGATGTAGGAAGGTGCTCTCAGGGTGTTTGTTTGTGGTTGTCTCTGCTGTACACAGGGATGGGAAGAATTCCTGCTGTCATTCCAGTTTGTTTATGGAAACACTTTAGTGAGTTAATTTCAGTGCTGCTGATGCAGGGACAAATACCTAATTTAAGATGAAATAGGGCCACAAAACAAACCATGTTAGGAAGTAACTTTTTTATTGAGGCATATCAATAGGACTCAAATGTTTCAGAGCAGCTTAACCTTGGTCAGAGAAGATTTTAACATCTTAGTTTTTTGTTCAGTTCTTGTTTCATAAAAAATATATTACAATTAGCTTAAGGCTGGAAAAGAGGTGGTGAGGGGATTGTTTCCTTTTTGTTTTGGCTCAGTTTTAATTTCTTGCCAAAAGCAGCAGTGGCAGTGCTGTCCCCTTGATCTGAGGTGCAGGATTTGGCCTTGGTTTACTCAGCATGTCTGTGTTAGCAGCTCTTTTCCACGAGCTGGAGGGATTGCTTTGTTCCCATTGCGTACCTGTTTTCCCTGAGCTTGTGTGGTGGAAGAGATGCAATGCTGGAATACTTACAAGCTTGGCCTGATTCTCTGTGCTTGATTTTTTTTTTTTTAAATCCTGGGAAATGCTGTTTTGCCAGCTGTAAATGTAGGGATGGAGTCGCAGGAGTTCTTGACATAGAGATGATATTATTACAAACTAATTGTTACAAAATGACCAGTTGTTGCGCTTGTTACAGGTACCACGTCTGAGGGTGTGAAGGAGCGCTTGGCTTCCCTGGCTGCAGAGATAACAGACCTGGCTTTTCACATCCCTGACTCTTCTGGACAACTAGAGAACTTGCAGAGGTCAGTTTTGTGCTGACTTGTCTCTACCTCCACAATCAGTGTTTTGTTTTTGATCCCCCAGGTCCCATACAACAAAGTTACATGTCTTTGAACAGGCATCTGTTACCTGTTTGTTGTTTTCCAGGAAAATGCATTTTTTTATGTGTAGGAATATGTGTTTTCACTGGTCTGATTGCAAGGGATTTGACCCTGAACTTGGCTGAATTTTGTTCTGAAGTGTAATAATTGCTGCTGTAATTTTGCTTTACTTTCCTTGATTTTACCTCCTAGGGCTACAGAAATACTAGCAGAGATATCAGGGAGCATCAGTGCCTTGAAAGCCACCCTGCTGGGCTCAGGTTCCCCTTCTGGGCTGGAGGGGAGCTGTGGTGCAAACAGAACACATTTGGAAGCCAAGTCAGCAAGTGTCAAAGCACAAAAAGCAGAATGTGCTGAGCAACCTGAAGGTGACCTCAACATCTGCTCTGATGCTACCCTGGCTGTCCTCTGGGAGGAAGAAATGAGTGGGGAGGAGGCACAGAGAGGTAACACTGCTCTGGAAAATGGGGCTCCAGCAGCCAGGGTCGCAGACAGAGAGGACAAGGATGATTTCATGTCCCTGGACATTACTGAGCAAGAGCTGCAGGTCTTGGAATGTCAGGCTGCCAAGGAATTGGGCAGTGAAGCTGCACCTGAGGTAATGAACTCTTCTTAACTCCAAATATTTCTTTCAGATGTTTTGTTTGTAATGGGCAGGCCTCAGAGCTGAATGTTGAGCTTAATTATCTTGAATTTTCAGAAATTACTTTGCTCCTAAGAGAATTGTGTTGATTTTGTAGGAGGCTTGTTCCACAGACAATGAACAAAATGTGTCCTGTGTCATTGAGAGTGATGAAGAGCTGGAAATGGAGATGCTCAAAGTGAGTGTCAGAGGGTTTATTTTAAAATTTTGTTCATAATTATGCTGCTCTGGGAGCACAGTTAATGGGAGGGAATATGAAGCAGAAAGGTGCTGCTTGCAGAAGAGGGACAGAATAAACACAAGGTTACCTAAAGAATTCAATTTACTGGGGTTAGACTGGAGTATCATTGGCCTCCTGTGTCATCTTTACTCCACCAGCTTGGACTTCATCCACCTGCTAGATTAAAGTTGTTACAACTGGATTAAAAATTGGTTCCCATATCTTATTACTTGAGAGAAGTGTTTTATCTACCCTTCCATGCTCAAAAATAACTTTTTTCTACTTAAATGCTCAGTCTCTAGAAGATGTAGATGATTGTGAAGGAGTTCTTCCTGAAGGAGAGTCCAGTAAAGCCAGGAAAACTCCTGAAGTGGATGTAGCACCAGATGGTGATGAAGATGAAGGCATTGAGGAAGAGGAGGAGGAATATTTGGGTATGGTTTTTTAAAAGTCTTAGTGCATGGTGAAATAAATTTTTAAAAATCACTGTCTGTAGAAGCAGCCTTGAAAGCACAGTGACTTTTAGGGATGGGTTTCTCAAAAGGGAAGATCAAGCTTACCTGGATTTCTAAGGGGAGCTTGGACTGTGTGAAGATTAAAATACAAAGGTGTGCTTGGCAGGAGAGAGTGAAGTTCTGCCTTGGTCAGCTGATGTCTGCTTCATGGAGTAAAACTGACTTGGGGGTGTGGGGGACCTGCTCAGAACACAGCACAGGGGAGGTGATACATCCCCTGTCTGCCTGTGCTCTTCTGTTGCTGCTGAATGACAGAATTCTGAAGAAATTCTGCCTTGGGGGCGATTTTGACTTGCTTTGGGGTTGTCCCTGTGGAGACAAATGAAGTGGAGAAAAGCAGCTGAAATGTGAGGAGGAGCTGACTTGTTCGGGTGATCCTGTTCCAGATGATGCAGTTATGCATTGCAGTCCTATTCCTTTATCTCATTAATCAAGCCATATGTTCTCCTCATGCAGGGTCTCTGAGGAGCCTCTTTGCCTTTTTTAATCCTTCATTCCAGCCTGAAAATATCTGGAGTTTGAGATCTCACTCTTTTCACTGGAATTGCCCAAATTCAAACCCCTGGGCATGACAAAGCATGAGCAGACTGTTGCTTGTGGAGACAGTGCTTTATCTTTTTAAAATTCAATGCCAAAAGAGTGCTTTCTCCTCTCTCCCACTAAAGATCCATTGCTGCCAGAGCCTGCAGAAAGCCACATCGTGTGTCTCAAGACCTATTTTGGGCATTCTTCTTTTAAACCGTGAGTGTGTTTTCTGTTAAAATGGACACTCTGGGGTAGGTGTTCCTGCCCTTCCTCCAACCTGGATGATGTTTTTATTACTATTCACTTGAAAAAAATGGCAACAAACAAATCCAGGTCTTTCACACTCTCTTGAATTAGAGATAAGCGATCCACAAATGCTGTGGAAACTGCAGGTGTTTTTTGAGATCAGTGATCTCCTGCTTCAAGTGCTGCCTGCCTGAGTCCTGTTAGAGATCCCCACTTGGGCCCTGCCTGCAGTACTTGGGGTGTCTGAGTGGCTGCAGTGTGCAAGGACACTGCTCTGAGGCAGGCCCAAGGGTCCCTTTAACCCACAATCCAGTAGAATATGCAGTTCCATACAATTTACTTGTTATCTGTGGTGGCCAAAATCAAATATTCCCCTTTGTTTAATTTCAAGGGTCCAGTGGAAAGTGATCAATTCTCTTTTGGAAGACAGAAGAGATAATCTTGTTGTCATGGCAACTGGTAAGTTACCACTGCATCCTAAGAAACAATAGAAAGTCATTCCCTTTTTGGGGGACAGCAGTACAACAAACATGGCTGGGTTTTTTGGAATGTCAGAATTGTCTGTTGTAGCTGCATAGGAAGCATGGTGTCTCACTTCTGCCTTTTTTTTTTCTCAGGCTATGGAAAAAGCTTGTGCTTCCAGTTTCCTCCTGTTTACACTGGACAAACAGGAGTTGTCATCTGCCCTCTTATCTCCCTGATGGAGGACCAGGTGCTGCAGCTGACGTGAGTGACATGGTGGCAGTGCCAGGCTGCTGCTGGCTGCCCCCTGGGCACATGGGATGCTGCCTGTGCCCTTGCTGGGTGTTTCCATTTGCAGCAAGCTCTTGGGGTGTCAGCTGCAGGGCTTGTGTGTCTCAGGGAGCACATGCAGCCCTTGTGTGACTGTCAGCAGTCTCACATCCCTGGGTTTGCCACATGGGTGAACCAGAGGCTGAGCGTGCAAAGGATGGATGCTGCTGAGAGGTTTCTGAAGGCACTTATTTCTGGTTTCACAGGCCTTTTGTGTCCAGACCAGAGTGGTGGGGGAGCTGTTTGAGGCTGTCAGACTCGTGTCAAGGTTTGCTTTGGGTCTGAGGGGTGACATCTGAACCCAGTATAGCTGGGAGCTGTTGGCACTCCAGATCAAAGCTGCAACACAGGCTTTCAAGAGGGATGGTGTAGTAGGTCTCCCAACACCTCACCTCTTCACTTCTTCAGAGATCTGAGGGGTGAACTTGTGGGTGACACCAAATCACTCTGACATGAGTGGTTCTAGGTGTGTTGTCAAGATAAATCTCTTTGATTTTTTAATACCTGATAATGCTTTCTCCACATGTATTCACTTCCTATTGTAAGAGCCATTCATTTCTGACACTTTTGCTTTGAGGCTGTGGGACTCATGCTGAGTTGTTGTGTGGTTCATTCCTGCTCTGTCCACCTTGGGAAAAGGAGTTTTATGTGTTAGAGGGGATATGAAGGTGCTTTGAAGTGAAGAACACCAGTGACATGTGGCATTTTCTGCTGCGTGTCGTGGCTGTGTGCAGATGAATGGCTGGACAGCCTAAGCTCTTTGACTATTACTCAGCAGGGCGTCTCTGTGACTTTTCCACTGTTTTCCTCAGTGGAAGGGGTTTATTCACTGCCTTCCCAGTGGGTCATTCATTTTGAAGGCTGAGGAGACTGAATTTGTACAGACTGCAGCAGTTTGTCTGTCAGTCTGGCTGCAGTTTGGACTGAGCAGCTGTGGAAACCAAGGGCTATGAGACAATGCAGCAAATCACCAAGCTAAGAGGTAAAATATCAATCACTTGGGCTGGTATTTATTATGTCATTAAAACCCAGCCACCTGATTTAAAACAAGCAGATGCAGCATCAGTAGCTCAAAAAAGATGGAACAAGGTAAAAAACTGTGGGCTAGCAAGGCTTATATCCAAATGTGAGGAGCTGCTGCAGTGAAGAGTTGAAGAAAATAGATTTTGCATATTCTTTTGTATATTTTAATTGTGTACTTGTGCAAGGAAAATGGTCTTCTGTTCTCTGATTCCTAGTAATCCAGTGTGTGTCTTGTAGAGGGGAAATGCAAGAGCATTTGGGTGGCAGGAAGAGCCATGCACCACTCCTGCTTTTTCAAAAGGTGTTTCACATAAAGATCCTTGAAGAAAGCAGTGTCTGACCTCACAGCTTGAACTTCCTTTAGAAGTGCTGGCGCAGGCTGGAAGCTAAAGCTTGGAGAGGGAATCTGTTCATGACTGTGCTTTTTAATTCTGCAGAATGACAGGGATTCCAGCTTGTTTCCTTGGTTCAGCTCAGTCAAAACAGGTCAAGGATTCCATCAGAGGGTAAGTTTGAGCCAAACTTTCTGGTACTCTGGGCTGTGACAAGAGTCACAGCTGAGGGGGATGGGATGTCTCCCTGCTCCATCACCACTGAAACTCCTGGTTCTGGCCCAGCCCTGGGACCTGGCACTCAGGATATTGTTTGCGTTCACCCAGGCTGAGAATGTGGGAGGCCACAGCCACCCTCCAGTGCCTTTTGGCTGGGGAAATGGAGCTTAGTGACTCAGCTGTGTTCTGATTTATACCTGATTTTAGTCAGGTTTTAGGCCTGGATCTGTCAGCACCATGACAGTCCATTCTTATTCCAAAGGCCTGCAAAGGTGGTTTTACTTTTCCTGCAATGCCTTGCTTTCCTGTGGTTCTGGAATGTTTTCTCTGGACTTCACTCAATTCCTCTTGTTTGCCATCAGAAATCTGTTGTTCTCATATTGTTTTTCAATGCCATCATGATTTTATTGAATTGAATTGTCTGGGGTCGTCTGTGTCAGTGTATTTTTTTCTGATCTTTCAGGGGTCAGTACAGAGTCATATACATGACTCCAGAGTTTTGCTCAGGGAACTTAGAGTTACTTCAGGACCTTGACCGAACTGTTGGTAAGTTGGAGGTAAGAATGTGGGTGAGTTGCCAGGCAGCTTAAATTGATCATTATGTTTAAGCCTTTTTGGTAATTGGAGACTTCTCACCCATTTCTTGGTGAGAGTAGTGACACCATTCATTCCCATTCATCACACAAGATGAAAAAAAATCATGAGTTTTTCTGAGACCATCAGGCTTTGTGTTACAATCCAGGAAATACAACAAATGACATCTGGAATTCTTACTGGTGACTGATTGAGAAGCAGTGAGTGGGAAAAGGTCCTGTTGGAGCTAACTTGAGATTTTGAGCCACGTGAGGGATGTTGGATGAATGGAGCTTAGATTGTGGTTGGGGGGGGGAGAGACTGTAAAAGCTCCTGGGCCTTTTTTATGAGAGAGGTGATGCAGCAGAAGGTGCAGCAGAAAGCATTCTAGGAGTAAAACCCAGGCCCTGCTGATGGTTTTTCATGAAAGCTGGAGCTTGCTGTGGTTTTGTGTCCCCCAGGTATCACCCTCATAGCTGTGGATGAAGCTCACTGCATCTCCGAGTGGGGCCACGACTTCAGGAGCTCCTTTAGAAGTTTGGGCTTGTTAAAGAAGACTCTGCCCTGGGTGAGGTTTGGCTGAGTTGGGTTTCTGATGCAAGAAGAGGGTTTTGGGTAGTAGTTTGCAAATACCAGCCTTTTCATGTTGTGCTCTGGGTGTACTGACCTTGCTGGTTGGGAGTTGGAGCATCCCTGTCAGTAATTGAGCTTTGTAGGTTTTTCCCAGTGTTTAAACAAAGGGTGTTCTGAACTTGGACTACCAAAACTTAAGAAACTTAAATTGTTTTGAATTCCTATGCTGAGGAAGATGATGTCCCTAAGCCCCTGGTTTCATATGGGAGGATTTTATTTTACCTGACCAAGTGGCTGGTAGGAGCATGCTACTGATTTCTGGACACTCCTCAAGCACTTACTGCATAAGGTCAGAACTTAACATGCTTTTATTGTCAGTGTCATCCTATATTCCCTAAATTTAGCTAATCACAGCAGTGAAATACTGTGGTCTCATGGAAGATACATTCAGAATAAAACTTTGCATTTCAAGTGTTCCATTCCTGTCTGCTCTCTCAAAAGCTTCAGTCTAAAATGTTCAAGAAGCTCAGTATTAACTATATTTTTTCAAATTACTGAATTTATCCAATGATAAACACATTAAAGTGCCTGTTTAGGTTCTGAATCAGTAGACTTTTGAGCTTTTTGTTGTAAAAAATGCTCAGTGAGAGGTCATGAATGTTATTGTACATCTCTTTGCAGATCCCCATTATTGCATTGACTGCAACTGCGAGTCCCTCAATCAGAGAGGACATAGTGAAATGCCTGGACCTGAGGAATCCCCAGGTCACCTGCACCAGCTTTGACAGACCTAACCTGTACCTGGAGGTTGGACAGCAAAGTGGAGACATCTGTAGGGATTTGAAGCAGTTCCTAACTAGGAAAGGAAGGTAAGGATTTAAGCCTGGTTTTGATCCCTCAGGTGTGGTTTTTTTTTACAGGCAGGTGGCTTTTTTTGTGCTGTGTCTTTACATGATGTTGTTGTTGATACTTTCAGCAGTTCTGTGTATGAGTTTGAAGGCCCCACTATCATCTACTGCCCTACAAGAAAGGCCACTGAGCAGGTGGTGTGTGCACTGAATAAACTCAACGTGACCTGTGGTACCTACCATGCTGGGATGGGGAACAAGCAGAGGAGGGACACTCACCACCAGTTCATGAGGGATGAAATTCAGGTATGGAGGAAACAAAAGTCTCTTCGGTCCTGTTTAGAACTGCAGAGTTTTTGGTGGAAGAAAATTTTGGAATATCAACCTGTGTTAGCCGTGTCCTCTGTCTGCAGTTCTGGGTGAAGAAATTGCTGGTCTGTGCTGATAGGAATAAGAGTCCAGGCTTATCTTTTGAATTTCTGTAGTAATTCCCTCAAAGATATGTGGTATCCAGGGAAAATGGTGATAGCTGGAACAAGAGCACAGCTTCTATGAGCTGCTTCTTTCCTGGGCAGCAGAGATATCCTGGGACTCCTTGTGTTCCTTCTGATGACCTGTTTTGTGCCTGTTGAGAACAACTTCTTGAAAACACTCCTGCATTTGCCAAAGCACATCATCCCTCTCATGGTTACAGTCCTATGGCTGTGCCCTGGCCAAAAGGCATGGGTGTGAAGCTGGTGTAGTTCAGGCTGGATTTTGATGAAGATTCCCAAATGTGTGTGAAGTAAGCCAGACCTGTTTTTTGGCACGTGGCTGCTGTTTTGCAGTGCGTTGTGGCCACGGTGGCCTTCGGGATGGGCATCAACAAGGCCGACATCCGGCTGGTGATCCACTACGGCGCCCCCAAGGAGATGGAGTCCTACTACCAGGAGATGGGCAGGGCCGGGCGTGATGGCCTGCCTGCTGCCTGCCATGTCCTCTGGGCTGCCACTGACCTGGCCTCCAACAGGTACAGCCCTGCCCTCCCTCCTCAGGCCCTTTGGCCATGGCTCACTGCACTTCAGTAGCCTGTTGTGTTTGTGCGGTGCCCCGACAAAGGAAGGAACGATGGATCCGACTCTGTGTTCTCAGAAGGCTAAATCATTATTTTATAATACTCATATTGAAGAATGCTATGCTAAACTGTACTAAAGAATACAGAAAAGATACAGACAGAAGGCAGCTTGACCCTGATTGGCCAATAAGTCAAATCATATTAAACCAAAGAAATAATCTCCAGACACATTCCACATGTGAGTACAACACAGGAGAAGCAAATGAGATAAGAACTTGCTTTCCTTTTTCTTTGAGGCTTCTCAGCTTCCCAGGAGAAAATCCTGGGCGAAGGCATTTTTCAGAAAATGTGGCTGTGACAGTAGCCCATGGGCTTGGAAGAACCTCTGTGTCTCTCTGCTGTTCTGTCCTCTTTGGGATAATGTTGGGAAGAATATGAATGAAGTGCTCTCCTGAGTATCCCCCATGGTGCAGAAGCAGGCAGGCAGCTTGGGTCTGGTTTTAGCAGGATACTTTTTCTAGCTCATCCTGGTGAATTGGAGGGTATTGTCTGGCATGTTTCATTTTTGATGTGTTGACAGTGGTCAGCATTTAAGGCTGTGCATTTTTTGCTCCTGTCTCAGGCGCCTCCTGGGCGAGATCCGCAATGAGGAGTTCCGGCTGTACAAGCTGAAGATGTTGGCCAAGATGGAGAAGTACCTGGTGTCCAATGGCTGCAGGAGGAAGTGAGTGCTGGCAGCTATTTAGTGCTGTGTCACTGCAGGCAGCTTTGCTAAGAGCTGCTGGAGCTCAGGCACAGCTGGGGGCTGTAGCCAGAAGGCAGCTCGGGTTCACAATGTGTTCCACAAGCACAGAACATTCTATTCTGTATTAATAAGCAGAATCAAAAGTACATCCTTCAGCACATTTATACATTTCCTTGTTTGGTTTTTTTAAAAGACTTTCTTTAGAGGAATCAAGGCTAAATAATTGGTTCCCCAGTGAATTAATTAATGATGCTGATTTTGACTCCATTTTCTGCAATAAATTTCATGTGTAAATTCTTGGTCTTCTATTGAATTCTTTTTGTTCCCTTGGGTAGAATCATCCTGTCTCATTTTGAAGACAGACAACTCCGGAAGGTTTCCTCTGGCATCATGGGCACAGAAGAATGCTGTGATAATTGCAGGTCCAGGTAAGCTTTCTTCCCTCAAGGCTGATCCTAGAGGTTATGTTCTCTCAGCTTGACTTAGAAGGCAAATTATCTAAAAGGATTGACTTTCACACATCTGATCTGGCAGCTGTTCAGCCTGAGGTTTATTTTTGGACATCTCCCTAACCTTTTTCCAGTGAGTCAAGCAAACTGTGATAAGCTCCAAGTGAGGCTGTGGGAAAGCCTGGAAGCAGAGCAGGATCACAGTTCCTAAAAGGGGATTAGAGCACCACTCAGTGAAAAACACTTCTATTCATCAGTTTAAGGCCTGTTAGGTAATTAATCCCAAAGGACAACACTTGCAAATGGTGTGTAGTACCAGGTGTCTAAGGCTAAATTGCCCCAGTGTCCAGGGAGCTGTTCTCCTGTGCTGACATGTGCTCTTTTAACCTTGCTAATAATCTCATGGATGTGCTGAGGGGGATTCAGGAGGCTGATAGTCAGGGAGGCGTGAGCAGAAACACATTTGTCACCTCCTTCTGTAGTTACAATAAAGCTTTCCCTGAAGTTACAGTGAAGCATTCCTTGCTCTGGCTGTTAGCCTGATGCTTTCTGATCCCAGGTGAGGTGTTAGACTGTGCTGCTTTCTGGAGACGTGTTACCAATTTAGCTACTGAATTTCTGTATGTCAAGGATTAGGACAGCTTTGCTTGGCCTCTACTACAGCTGAGTTAAAAAAGAATTTAAAAGATCATAATTGCCCTCTTTGCAGTCACCTTGCAGAGTTAGTAAAGAGCCAGGTAGTGAATTTGTATTGCAGAACTGAAATCACTTGAACTAGGTAATTCTTGTTTTTTCTCCTTAGAATTTTCTCCTTAGAAGTGGTTTGTGCCGGTAATGTTTCAGTGTGTTCTTTCAGTCAGTAAGAAAGAGCAACCCCACTAAAGGCTATGTATTTCTTTACTCCTGGTATTGTTTTTCCTATTAACAAACCTTACTTAGCCTTTAGTGGGGTTGCTCTTTACTCCTGGTTTTGTTTTTCCTTTATGTTCATAAAGAAACAGGAAAAAGCTTTAAAGTGCAGTTAAAGAAATGTTGTGCATGCCCAAACCAATGCAAATATTTTGATATTGAATTCCAAAAATTGCTGAGACCATGTTCTTGACAGCAGGTGTGGTGGAGAACTTCCTGTTGGGTTGGGCAGGTGTCTGAGAAGTTACATGGATAGAAATAGGAATGTGTCTTGAAGTTGCATTGATACAAATAACTAAATGTGTTTAGATGTATAGAACAAGGACTGACATTAGAGACTAGGTACAAGTAATAACTTGTTATTTCATTTAATTATTTTTTTAATCACTGGGTTGACAGCATTTGGAGCAAGGGAGAAGGGACTTGGTTTGTTTGTGTTAAGCCTGGCTTCTTTTGTGCCTTGCAGTGGCTCCTGCCTTGCAGTCCCCAGTGACTTTGAGGGTGGATTGCAGGACTTTGGGAAGCAAGCACACCAGCTGCTGTCTGCAGTGAGCGCCCTGGACGAGAAGTTTGGGACCAGAATGCCAATTCTGCTTCTTCGAGGGTCTGTAAGTGATGGGGCAACTCCTTGTGTGTGTTCTGAGGGGAGGGGCTGTGACAACCCCATTTAACTGATCCTCTTAATTGATCTGTCGATCAGTACATGGATATCCATGCATGTTCATGTGTGTGCCCCATTTTTCTTGGAGAGATGGAGGTTTGTGTAGAGAGGTAGTCTTGACTTTGGGAAGCTGCTCAGCTCCACTCCCCATGCAACAAGCAAGGTGATTGTCCTCTAATTTTTTGTGAAAATGCATCATTTTGATTATCTTGAAAGGAACAGCCTTTTCAGAATTAAGGATAAACATTTTGGCTCAATTAGTTGGCTTATGTTTAAATAAAACAAAGAATGGCTACCACTGTATCTTAGTGTTGCTGTCTGACTTTGAGTACTGAAGTAGTGTACCAGAATAAGTATAAATTAACTTCCATACACCTTTTAATTTTAATTGTTTTGAAATGCTAAGTAAGAAAGTCACTGGAAATAAATTAGAACAAGAACAAAATACTTTTTATGCTTACAAACTGAGGAGGTTAGGGTGAGTTATGTTCCTTGTTTAACCTTTTATTGCAATTAAGCTGCTGGTTGTCACACAAGTGCATCTAGGGAAAAATGAACTTGCCACAGCCTTGGCAGGAAGTAGATTAGGAGTGGAATAGCTCAGAGGAGGCTCCTCACATGCTGGGCTTTTGGTTTATTGGTTGTTTGAAGTTTCCCTGTGCAAGGAGTGCCCAAATCTGACAGGATCTTTCCAACCTTGCAGTGCTCGCAGCGCTTGCCGGAGCGGTACCGCAGGCACCCTCTCTTTGGCTGTGGGAAAGAGTGGCCAGAGAACTGGTGGAAACTGCTCTGCCAGCAGCTCATCATGGAAGGTTTCCTCAAAGAGGTCTCAGCCCAGAACAACAAGTTTGCAACCATTTGTGTGCTCACCCAGAAGGTACTTCTCGTAGTGAAAGGACCCACTGAAGAGCTCCTCCTGAGTAACCCACAGCTAAGCAGTGTGGTTTATTTCCTACAGGGTAGGAATTGGTTGTCCAAGGATGGATCTGCCCCAAATCCAAGTCTTCTGTTACAGTCCAGTGAAGACCTGAATCTGCAGAGACCTTCTGCCAGGTAATTGTAGCACATGTGTTCTCTTGAATCAGATCTGTCTCTGAGCCCTGCTTTTGGAGAGGGCAGGGTTGAACAGGAGGAGGCTTTGAGATCCTCAGTGTTCTGTTTTTTTCATGCAGAATAACAAGTCTAATAATTAATCAATAACTCGATTTGCCAAATGCATCCTTGTACTGACTTGAAATCAGTTTATTTAGCAGAATGTTTTTTGTTCACTGTACAATGGAGTTAAGATGTAATTAATTGCATTACAGCAGCAGGCGTTCGCCTCTGCTCGCCAAGCAGCGCTCCCCAGGCACAAAAGGAACAGCACAGTCACCAGGCAAGCAGGTCTGTACCAGTACAACCCTCCTGCTGTGTCATCCATCCCTGCCCATTGTATAAAGAACCCAACCCAGCTTACCCCAAGTTAATTTTTATGAACAGCAAACTCAGTGAAAAGATGGTAAATCAGCATTTGTCTTGTTGTTCTGGTTTTTTTTATAGGTATCTCTATATGAGATGTTCTCCTGTTACAGAAAAGGTCCAACTCCTCCAAGAAACACTAACATGGTTAAAAGGTACAGTATTTGGAATTAAGCCAGCTTTACCTAATTTTGACTGTGTAAATGGGGATGCTGCTTGGTGGGGGATCATTAAAATGAGCATTTTCCTGTGCGAGGGGTGTGGAAATGTCAATGCATTAAAAAAAGGCAAGTGCGTAAAACTTGCTGTACACTCCATTATTACATTTCAAAATATATTGTATTTACAAGATTTCACAGTTAACATCAGGGAGCATGGAGGGCTCTGCCTTTCCACACTGGTCTGGAGAAGACTGAGACCAACTTGAGGCTCCCTCAAGTCAAAAGAAATTAAATAACCTCTTGCAAAAAGCAGACCAAGTAATATGTTTTCCTGGCTCACGTGCTGCTTCAGATTAAATGCACCTTGTGTTTGAGTGGATTCCTCCTTCAGGCCACCATTCTGGTGCTGGCAGATGACAGGAAGAGGCTGTATCAGTTAGGTGAATAGTTGTCACTGCAGCCATGTGAAGACCAATCATTTTAGGGACAGTTAAAATCTGTAAAACCAAGTTATTTTGCACTGTGCTTAGGGAAAAGAGTCTCTTAGTCCATCTTGTGTGCTGACAGATATTGCAGTGTAATCTTGGCAGTCCAGTCAAGGGTTAATGTCCCTGGGCTCGTGGACTCAGTGGGAGTCTGGATACTGCTGGTTGTACCCCAGCGAGCTCTGGGTGCAGAGCTGGCAACATAAATTGGGCCTTGAATCAAGTGATCTAAAGCAAAGCTTGCTTCACACTTGATTTGTTTTTTTTTTTTTTTTGGTAGTGTTTCAGGGCATTCACCGCTGAGATCTCCTTTGAAGCCCCAACAACCAAGTGCTTCATCCAGAGAAAAAGAGCTTGAGGTAAGCTTTGCTGGGACTGGGAGGATATCTCTGAATTGCAGTCAGCCTGCAAACCACAGTTGTTCTGTGTTTGGGCAGAACAAAATTACTGAAAATTAACTTAAAACTACAAAATTACTTCAAATTACTGGGTTGTTTTAAACAGAAGTCCCAGAATAGGGCTGAAATACACAAGGAGTGGTTAATGGATGGCAGAGTTTTTGTGTATTATTGGGAAGATCAGGGAGGGGATAAATTCTGCTCTTGTAACAATTGTACCTACAAGTGATGTAGAGCTGCTTCCTGAGAATTTGGCTCCTTCCTTCCTTCCCAGACTGCTCTGTATGGCAAGCTGCTGACTGCTAGACAGAAGGTAGCTAATGAGAAGGAAATTCCTCCAGCTGTCTTGGCAACCAATAAGATTCTGGTGGAGATGGCCCAGATAAGGTAAAGCCAGCACGCAGACATGTTGTACAAACTGGGAGCTTGCAAGCCAAGGCACAGATCCCTTTCCTGCTTCTCCTGGGGGAATGGAGGCATCTCAAGTGCCTCCTCCAGCTACTAAAAGGCAGCGATATTTTGGGATTGCCTTATGTTGTTGCATTCTTCATCCTAAACCAGGCCTACGAGCATCGAGAACCTGAAGAAAATTGATGGTGTGTCTGAAGCCAAGTCCACCATGTTGATGCCTCTCCTGGCTGAGATTAAGGACTTCTGCCAAGCAAATGGTTTGCAGGTATGATGAAATCAAGTGCCTTCTCCTTGGCAGGAACCTTAAAGATGGGGTTTGCTCTGCAGCTATTGGACAACTCCATGGAGTTGTCTTTATTTCACAAAAAAAAAAGCTTTGATCTAGCAATAGGAATCAAAAGCATGTCTAGTTTTATAGTTGTTTGCAGGGGGTCTGTTTTGAGAAAATTTAGCTCAAATTGACAAGTCTGTGGCATGCAGACTGAATGCCACAGTTTGTTCTGGTGGAATAGTTTCACATGGAATGAGGAATACCTAAGATGATGTGTTGGCCTGGGCACTTTGTTCTGGCTGGTTTTCTTTTCCAAGCTCCTTGGATGATGCCATGCTGGTTTTAGTAAGATGGGAACATGTGAATGTCCATCTGGATTCCCTCCTTGCTGTAGTGTTCCCTCCCTTTACTTTTTTTAAGAACATAGGGTTGGAGTCAAAACCCACTTCCAGAGAGATGAATGGTTTTGTTTTGTTAGGCTTACTTTGTCAGATAATTTCAGATAATGGGAGGGTGATCAGTGGGTTGTCAGTGGAATAAAATGAATTTAATTCTGCTTTATCTCACTCAGACTGACACATTCCCCACCGCTGAATCCAAGGTTCAGAAAGAAGCATCTCCCTGGAAGTGTGCTAGAGCCCTTTCTCCCTCAGAGGAGGTCACATATATCCTGTTCCAAGAGAAGAATTACTCCCTGGTAAGCTCTGGGCTGTGGAGGCTTTTGCTTTGCTGAAAACTGGCAGCAGGGAGGCTTTGTCTAGAGGAGGGGGATGTGCAACTTTTCTTAAATTCTCTGCATGGTGCTGGATAAATTGCTTTAAACCTCTGAGGCAGTGTTTTTCCTGGGAAATGGCAGATGCTCTTACTTATCTCTGAAGTGGTGGTATGGAAAACTGAGGTGGGATACAGTGGGTTTTTAATTCCATAGAAAGCAACTTGAGTTGCTTTGGCTTTTACTTTGCCCCTCCCAAGAGTATGGGGCAGATGGTCCCTGAGTTAAAAGTGTACCTAAAGATGAATTAACAAGAAATAGTTGTACCGTTATTAATGGGCAGCTTGATGTGCTATATGCACTAATCCTGGTGAAATGCACAGTGTGTGTATTCCTTGTAGAAAAACAAGTAGAAACTTGAAATGTGCTTTTTTGAAGAGTACCAGATTCCAGTTGGAGACCTGTCCTTGAGAAAATCAAGTTTGGGTCAATCAAGTTTGAGATGCTTTGCTTCAAGGCAAATGCTTAGGAGGAGAATTCATCCAATGTGTGGAAATGAGGGGGAATTTGTTGTGGTGTTTGTGGACCCCTGAGAGGTCAGGTGCACCACAGCTCCTTCATCTCAACTTAGCTCAAGGTGAGGTGTTGCACTCAAGCTGTGGAGTTTTGAGGGAGAAACACACTTGACAAGTTGGATAAGAAATGAGATGGGTATTAGGAATAAAGCAGTGTTTTGGGGAGCTTTGTTGCACTGCCATATGCTGGCAACTCTGGATTGTTTTTTGGGACTGACACCTGAGCCCTGTGCATGCCCTGTGCCTTTGCTTCCCCAGAGGGCCATAAGTGAGAGCAGATCTCTGCCCCTGGCAGTGGTTGGCACCCACCTGTACCAGGCACTGGCCGTGGGCCGCACGGTGAGCGTGGAGCGCGCAGGTCTGACCCCCGATGTGCAGAGCCTCATCAGGGACATCATCTGCAGCCCTCCCATCCTCTCAGGTGAGCATCACTGACCTACGTGCAGCTGCTGCTCCCAGCTACACCCTCCAGCAGTCCTGGAAGGCTGGGGCAGACTACTTTCCTTTCAGGTTCAGTTAAAAAATAACTTCATCATGATCCGTAACAATGGGGCTGACTTTTACAAGTCATTTGACTCAGTTGTGTGGACGTTCTTGAGAGATCCGTCTTAAATCTGTGTTTACTGAAATGTTTTTGGGGAAAAAAAAAACTGACAAAGTATTGCTGTAAGTACTGGCATCCTCAGAAAACACGCTGGGAGTTTATCACATGATCTCACAAGTCAAACCCATACATTTTCACCTTCTTATGTTTTCTCTGCCTTAATCCATTCTGTGCTTTAATGAGGTGCAACAAATGTATTGTACAATATAAGAAAACTGAGCTTAAAGAATTAACATTATATTTCTATTTTTTCCAAGACACTACCAAAATTCAAGAAATTAGAAAACGTACTCCTGCCAATATTGAGCTGTATCTGATCAAGATGATGATTGTACTACTGGAGAAAGAGGATAGAAATAAATCTCAGGATGGCTTAGGCTTCAAAAGAAGATTGGTGTGGCCTGAAGGACAGCAGGGAAAAACAGGAGCAGATCAAGCAAGAAGGGAAGGTGCATTGTGGAATAGAACACAGGTTAGTAAAAGAAGGTTGTAAAAGTGTTCTTCTGTAAAATCATGTTTTCTTTGTAGGAACAGACTAACAGAATGTTTTTGGTGTTTCCAGCATCTTCCCAATCCATCTCTCCCTCAGTTTTGAATAGAACTGCCTCTTCCTCAGAGGAATGCTCAGAGCAGAAGCTGAGGATTCTTTTGGGATAAGTGTTGACCTAGGAAGAAGTCAGAGCTGTGTAGCTTAGCTGTGATTTGTTACACACATTACAAGTTCTTCCCAGTATGAAAACTGGGATGTGCTTGTTCCTTCATAGTAGCCAAATCCAGTTTGTGTCCTGGCTTTTTTTCTGTGCATTGGGTTGTGGGCAAAGAGATTCTCCTACTATGCAGGAAGGTTAAGAGGATGAAAAAGCCAGAGGCAATTCCAGCCAGGAATGTCTCAGTCTTTGGGTCCTTAAATGGCTTGAAACTGTTGGGCACAGCCTGATAACAAGTGTCACCTGGAGGACCAATGTTGGGAAATAAGGAACATTTTGTTGCTGTTTGAGAAAATCCAGAGTAGTCTCAGCCCTCTGCTGGCCTCTGACCCCATGTCCCAGTTCAGCACCTGGTGCAAAGGACACCCTGCACTGAGTGGCACCTGGTGGCAATGGTAAAAGAAACAGCATATTCCAAATCCTGCTACCTGTGCTGGGATTTTGTGTCTGCTCCTTACAGGGCTTGGGGCTGATTTCTTAAACACTGGCTCATACAATTTTTCAAGCACTGCCATTTTGCCAAATTGATTTTTCTTGCTTCCCTGAGTGCTGTTTTGTTTCTACAATATCTGTCAGGGTCTTTTTTTCCTGCAGTTGACCTCC